CGGGTCGGGGGAATCTGCCACAGCAAGGGCATCAAGATGGTGGTAGCCGACACCAGGGGGCTCTTCGGGTGAGTGCCAGGCTGGGGGCCCTTCCCTTAGCCGCCTCGTCCCCTTCTCGCCGGCACTGGGGGGTGGGGGCGGAACCGGACCCTGGGCTGGGAGGGGTGCGCCGGCTGTCCTCAGGGAGATGGGGCTGGTGGGGGGCTGGGGCCCTGGGGACAACGCTGCCTGGGTGGGGAAGAGGCTGGAGCCTTGGGGGGGGGGGTTCTGGGGGGCTGGGTTGGCTGCCCCGCGCTCACCCCTCTCCCCACAGCCAGCTCTTCTGTGACTTCGGGGACGAGATGGTTGTGACAGACACCAACGGGGAGCAGCCGCTCAGCGCCATGATCTCCATGATCACCAAGGTAATGCTGGCCTGGACGCCTGGGTTCTCCCCCTGGCTCTGGGAGGGGAGTGGGGTCTAGGGGTGGGGGGGCTTGGAACCAGGATGCCTGGGTTCTCCCCCTGGCTCTGGAAGGGGAGTGGGGCCTGGGTTCAGTTCCTGGTACTGCTGGGCTCACCCCTCTCCGCGTCGGCAGGGCTGCCCGGGGGAGGTGACCTGCCTGGACGAGGCTCGGCACGGCTTTGAGAGCGGGGACTTCGTCTCCTTCACGGAGGTGGATGGCATGAAGGAGCTCAACCACTGCCCCCCCATGGAGATCAAAGTGCTGGGTGAGATGCTGGGCACCCCCGGGGAGCGGGACGGGGGGCTGGGGGGTGCTGTGCCGTGGGGGGCTGGGCAGGGCTGGGTGCTGGGGGGCGCTGGGCAAGGGACGCTCTCCCTGGGCAGTCGGGGCCAGGTGCTGGGGGGTGCTGTGCCGTGCGGAGCTCAGCAGGGGGTGGTCTCCCTGCCCCGTGCACCCCACGTTGCTGACCCCTGCTCTCCCCCACAGGGCCCTACACCTTCAGCATCGGCGACACCAGCAGCTTCTCCGAGTACGTGCGGGGGGGCATCGTCTCCCAGGTCAAGATGCCCCAGAAGATCAGCTTTGTGAGTGGGGCCTGACCCGCATTCCTGGGCCGGGTGGGGCGGCTGGGCAGCCCTGGGCCCTGGCTCTCCCCCCACGTGGGGGTGGGGACCTCGACTCCCGGGCTCGGGGGCCCAACGGGGGGACTGCTGCTTCCCCAGCTCCTTCCTCACCTGCCGCCTCCAGCCCGGGGCCAGGGGGCAGCTCGGCAGCAGGGACAGTGTCCCCTGGCGAGGGCAGAGTGGGGGATTGCAGGGTCCTTTCTGCCCTGGGGATTTAGGCACCCCCCCTTTCCCTGCAGAGGGGGAACCGTAGTCACTGGAATTGGGGGGAAGGGGGGTTCTCTGCTCTCAGTAGGGTTCAGTCATCAGTAGGGTTCAGAGTGAACATCATTCAGCTTCACATGGGTCTGTGCGTGCTCAGGCTGTCGGTCTGTGAGCCAGGCCTGGGACCCCGGTTCCTTCCCCTGTCGGGGGTCAGGTTGGAGGGGGTGAGAGGATGGGGGATTGTGCCGCTGCCCCTCATCCCCACCCTGCTCCCCGCAGAAGCCCCTGAGCGTGGCGCTGGCCGAGCCCGACTTCGTGGTGACCGACTTCGGGAAGTTCGAGCACCCGGCCCATCTGCACCTGGCCTTCCAGGCCCTGCACGACTTCCAGCGCCAGCACCAGCGCCTGCCCCGGCCCCGCAGCGAGGTAGGGCCTGGCCTCTGGCGAGCCAGTGACGGACTGACGGGCGAGGGGGCGTGTCTGTGTTACCGCCCCCCCCCCGTGTCCTGTTCCTGTGCGACCTGCCCCCCCCGTCTGTGTCCTCTCCCCGCCCCCTGGGGTGCTGCGTGACCTGCCCCCCCGTCTCCGCCGCCCCGGGGCGCTGTGTTACCGGTTCCCCACCCCCCCGGGGCACTGTGTTACCGGTTCCCCACCCCCCCGGGGCGCTGTGTTACCGGATCCCCACCCCCCCGGGGCGCTGTGTGACCAGCAGCCCACCCCCCCGGGGCGCTGCTGACCCCTCTCCCCGGCAGGCGGACGCGGCCGAGGTGCTGGCGCTGACCCAGGCGGTGAACGAACGGGCCCCCCCGGCACTGAAGCAGGAGAAGCTGAACGAGGGGCTGATCAAGGAGCTGGCGTACCAGGCCGCTGGGGACCTGGCGCCCGTCAACGCCTTCATCGGGGGGCTCGCTGCCCAGGAGGTCATGAAGGTAGCGCCAGGACGCCTGGGTCCCATCCCCGGAGCGGGGAGGGGAGCGGGGTGGGGTGCACGGGCTGGGAGCCAGGATTCTGGGGTTCTATCCCCGGCTCTGGGAGGGGAGTGGGGTCGG